AGGGGAATCTTGAGCAGGTTGAACAGCGTGAGCGCCGTGAACATCTTGGTTGCATTCAACGTCTCGCCCATGACGAGTGTGTAGGTGGAAAACGACGCGATCGTGACGACGACTGGCGCGCCGTACAAGAGGGCAGTGACGCAGCTCGACAGCGAGAAAATGCGCCAGAGGGTCTCGAGCTCAACGTTGCGCTCGGCTGCGATCTTGTCCTGAAATTTGTCTTCCCACGCGTTCAGCTTGATGATTTGCATGGCACCAAACACTTCGTTCACCGACTTCATGCGGGCGTCCTGACACTGGCGTAGACGGACAAAGCAGCGGCGCTGCGCAACCACAACATAGTTGTTGACGACGAGGACGAACACGATGACGCCAGCGCCAACAAACGTCGCCCACCCGACCACGTCGTACAGCATGACGAGCGTAACCGCGACTTGGATCGGGATGAGCCACAACTGCGTGGCAAATATTGAAAAGTTCAGGATCCATTGGATGTCGGCCGAAAACATGTTGGCGATCTCCCCCGTGGTCTTTTCCCGACGGCACTTGGCATCCAACGCAAGCGATTTGCGGAAGAGCAGGTGCTGCAGCGCTGACGTCAGTTTGACCGTCACAAGCTGGTTCTGGAACGTCGAGTGCGCCGACAGAAATGCCTGCGCAACGTTCGCGCCAAACAATGTGGCAATGTACACCAGGACGGCGTGCTGGTCGAACCCCACCGACGAGTCTTCTAGCGCGGTCAGAATCTTCTTGAGGACGACGGGGCCGTACAAGGTACATCCCACCGACAGGATTTGAAGCCCACCGATCACGGCGAATCGCCAACCGTACGTGTAGAAGATGGTGCGGACGAGGGATCGGGTGCGGCGAAAGGTTGGCTCGAACGACGCACTAACGATGTGGCATTGGTTCTCCCGCTGCAGCGGCCAAAGATCCGCCGGGTTGAGCTGTCGTTGGTTGCCCAGTTTCAAGAGCGGGGTCGCCCAGTGGAGGAAAAGCTTGGACAGGAGGCCAGCTTCGTCGTGCGGGTGCACGGTTGCCAACCGACTGTGGTCGTCCGCTGCCGGCAACGTCTGATACGACGACGTCGCCGCGACGGTGGTGCTGCGCTTGCTGGCCATCGAAGAGGAAACCATCCACCGCAGCGGGAAGGTCTCGGCGTGAGAATCAATCTGTTAATGATATTCCGAGGTAGACCGCAATTATCCGTACGCTCAGACCAGATAGGTTGGACGATTGCCGAGTTTACCGTCATGTCCCAACCGAGATGTTGACGCCAGGCTGGCCAGCCCATCAGGAAGGCGAAGGCCACGCCGAGGGACCGCGCTTTAGCCTTGGAGGGATGGCTGTGGCGATATTCGCCGGGTATGTGAAAGACAGACCTGACTTGTGCTGTTGGGTAGGGCCATGTTTGGAGGGATGTGTTCGAAGCGACCAGCAAACACATGCTGGCAAGTTCATACGCAACAACGCCATGGCGGGCTGTGCAGGGGAAAGCAGTGGGTGCACGTCTGGGCCGTGGTGGACCCACGGCAGGGATGTCGGAACGCGAGGACAGCACGGAGGTTGCCGACGTCAGCAAAATATTCCTCAGCGGGTGTGGCGTAGGCAGTCAAGGACTAAAGGAGAATGCCCTGCTCGGCCCTCATCCCTCTCGCGAGTACTTGATCCGCTGAAAGGAGGGCACATCCTCGCTGAACCGTCCGAGCCTGGTCACCTCCCGCGCGCGCTCTCGAACAGATTCTCCCACAACGTATCATTGGATATCCCATACTATTTTCAACACAGTGGTAGAAAATAGTGTGAAAATGGAAGTATGCGAAAAAATCGTGGAATACTGTAGATAAATTAGTCATTACTAGGATAACACATGGATCTTATTGGTATTACAGGTTGTCTACAATATTGACAGTAAATTCATATTTATAGCTACAACTGTCAGTGCAATTTTGATGACCCTCAGTATTGTTGGAAAACTGAAATATTTCCGATATATCAAAATATCATGACGACAATCCGCAATTTGTGTCCCTTCGTCGGCCAGATCCACGAACGTTAGAACAACATCCATGCGAGCTCGATGGAGGGGCTCTAGTGGCGTGGCGTCATCGCCACAACAAGACATCATGTCGGAAGAGGTGATTCAACTCTTTGGGGGCGCTCACCTGGCGACGCCGTCCAAAATCGACGCCATGAACCCCGCAGGTACCTGCGACGGCCCGTCCTGCCCTGACGACACGTAGATGTCAACGTCATTCGAGCACTCGTGAGCAACACGGATCTCGTGGAACGGTTCGCCCACGAAATTGCATTGTATGACAAGCTCGACCATCGCAAACCCGAGGACACACTCCGGCGGTTCAGTTTGAATGGGGACAACAAGCTCGACTTCAACGAGTTCCACCCAGCTCTCAAGCGTCTCTTTGGCCACGCGATCTCGCACATGCAATCGAAGGACCTTTTTCGAGTGTTTTGCCCCACGTCGGGGAAAAAGCTTGGTTCGTCACACGACTCTGTCCTCACGATTGGAACGACATTGTTTCGACGTCGTCGTGCGTTGTAGATATTGATCAGTTTTGCCAGATCATGGGCCACTGGTGCCAAGTCGCCAAACGCATGAAGGATCAAGAGTACATTTCGTCAACGTCTAGGCCACCGTCGAACCAACCCACGGGAGGCGACACTCCCTTGTCGACCCTCGACAACAACTCGAACATTCGACGAGGGCTCGATCTGGCTGCCAAACGCTACGACAAGCTGAACGCGATTTGTCTCAAAGTACTGCCGATTCTCGCGAAACGGCGTCGTGATATGATGCGTTGGCTAGATGGATGTGGGGTGCACTGGGTGTCTTTCCAAGGAAGAGTTTGAGCTCGCGATGACGCACGTCGGAGTCAACCTCAACACACAAGAGTACGAACGGCTGTACGTGCAGTTGCCGGCGACCGTGCGCCACGCCCCGTCCGATGGAATCTTCTACACCGGGTTCCTCGCCATGCTGGGGGTCAAGATGACCCATTTGTTTCAGAATCAAAAGGTGCAGTCGACCAACGACATCACTGCGTCGAAGTCGTCCTGACGTGTGAACAAACTCGGCGTACGTGTCGTAGTTGTGGGAATTGATGCTGCAGCACGGCGACGTCCTTCGCAAGTATTTGACGCATTGCCAGAAGCAAGGAAAAGACGCAATGTCGCCCGACCACTTTCGTGACCTCTTGGGCCACTGCGGCATCACATTGTCCAACGGCGACTTTACCGGTTTGCGCATGCGCATGCAGGAATTCCAGTACGTGGAAGCTGCCACAACAGCGCTGCGACTCAATTTAGCTGCTGGCTAGAGACGTCGATGGCAACATCAACTTGACCGACTTCCTTGCTGCTCTCAATGACAAGGCATCCTTTCTCGCCAACAGCACGGGCCTCGTCGGGTGCACTGGCCCTGCGTCGCCCCACCGGCGGGGCAAGAAAATCGTCGACACGCATGAAATGTGCGTGTCAGCGGCCGGGAAATCCACCGAGCAGCGGTACAACCTTCACTCACTTCGTGTACTTGCAGTGCATCAAGCATCGGTGGTGTTTTAGCAATTCCGAAGCGCAGATGTGTCGAGGCAAGACGACTGACGTGGCGAAAAAACCAACGTTCTCCAACTTGTACATGCAAAACGTGGCGAATTCGCCTGGCGCGACTCCCGCTGCATCGGGCGTCCCGTCCTTGGAAGAGCGCATTCTGTCGAAAATGCACACGTTCCAGGCGATGGGGTACACGCACTGCGCGACATTCAAGAGCATTTTCCCTGGCGATCGATTCGGCAAGATAACTCGTGGTCATTTCCGACAGTCCTTGGCCCAGCTCCACATGGTATCAAGGTATTCACAACCAAAGTCTCTACTGCACGACAGCCAACTGAATGGCACAGGCATGCCGAAGTGGAAGCGTTGTTCTGGAAGCTTGATCCGGCCGGACGAGGGTATATCGGAGCACACGAGCTGCATAGTCACTTGCAAAAACGGCAAGACTGCTCGAGCGATTCCGCCGTTGCAGGGACGTCAACGGTATCCCTGCAGGAAAAAGCCACAGAGGGAACCGAGGTTGGGCAATCAACGACCCAGCGCCATCCTCCGCTCCGACTAGACGAGAAGAAGGTGTTCGACGCGTTATACGAAAAGGTGTGGATTTCACATCTCGAGGCAGCATGGTTGACATGGGTGGTAGATTCCTGACGTCGTTCGCGCCTGTCAAGCCGTCGACAGCGGCAAGACGGGCGCGATTTCCCGAGGGGACTTTGTTTGGGCACTGCAGCAGGGCGGTGTCATCCTTTCGCAAGCTGATGCGTCCCATGTTGTCGCTGCGCTCTCGTCGCGAAAGGATGGCGTTGTCATGTACGACCAAATAACCGACACAATCGCCACACTGCTGCAGCTTCCCGGGACCAAGGACTCGACGAAGAGTTCGCGTCAGCATTTGTCGAATACGTCCGTGCTTCTCGATCAAGATTCCTCCGTTGTCGAGTCCACCAGACCTCCAGGTACCAATCCCATAGGTTGGACACCTGCCGCTCTTGCCAAGTGTGTTTGTGCCGTTGAATTCGTGGTTTCCATGGGAGCTGATACCCACTCGACCGGTCTAGAGGCCGTGAAGAAGGTCCAGGACTATCCCGCGAGACGCTCCAGCCTCCAACTTGGATACGGCTATGACGATCCGTCAGCTCAAGAGATGAGCGAGCGAAACCTGACGTCCAACTTGCACTCGAATGCGTCGTTGTACCACCATGTCCCCGAGCCAGAAAAACTCGAGCGTGCGCTCCGGCAGCGACACGCGCGACGAGTCTTGCTGATCCAGAACATCCTGGAGCGGCGCAGCGACTTGAAAATGTGCTTTGACATGATGCCGTACCGCCAGACGCCGCGCGGACTCGTCCTTCTCACGGTCGACGAGATTGCAGACATTCTGAGCTGTGCTCGAATGAACATCCATTTCAAGACGCCGGACGAGGCCAAGACGCTGTTGCGCGAGATCGTCCCGCCCAATTTGGACAAGTTGAGTACGTTAGCTCGATCTTGCTTGTTGCGATGACGGCGTCCATGGTGTAGGTTTCGTGGAGCTTATTCGAGTGCTGACGATGGCTCAGCGCATGGAGCCTGCCCCAGATGAAGACTGGCCGCCGCTTGTAGCAAGGTACGGCAAACATCGTTAGCTTGCGTGCCGAGACACGAGCTGACTGCAATTTTGTTGCAGTCCCTGTCGTGGCCAGGATGCGTTGAGTCCTGCGTGCTGCGAAGTGTCGATCCGCGCCAAACTGCTCCAGTTCAGCACGCTCAAGGACGTGAGCGTCATGCAGTGGAACACGACAGGAGCCATCATTGTCCGACATGCGTTCAAGGGTCTGTCGCGGGATACCGTCGCGACGTCGTCATCCGGCAGCACATTCGATGCATTGTGTCGGAACGTCGACTTGAAGCACATATGCACTCGCCTGGCCCTCGATTTGACGCAAACGGAGCTGCATTTCCTCGTTACCAAGATCGACGTGGGAAAACAGGGTTTCTTTAGCTCGACCGCGCTCTTTCAAGCATTTACTCAGCTGTTGTACGCATTGTAAGGCACAACTCTTGATTGAGTGTCGGAAGGTGGACGGCTGTGCCGCGTCCGTGAAGCGAGGCCGTGTGTCCTTGGGGTTACTTGGTGTTGCTCCTGCCAGCTTATTGCGACATGGAAGTGCCGGACGACAGGGAGACGCGGATGGTGCGCATTGCAGTTCCCTCGACAGAGCACACAGCATCCACACCTTTTCTGAGCCTCGCCATTGCGCAGCCAGGTCCACCGCTGCTTGTTTATCGACTTCATATGCACTATTCACGAATTCAACATGCAAGTCCTGCAACTCCATGGATAAAATTCCTCCGCAACGGCATAGTCGAGTCATCGATTGTCTACTGCAAGGATCGCAGTCGCACCAGCGACAACGCGACAGCAGCACTTTGTGCCGTCGTCGGCACACATGGTCTCCATCCTACTCAACAGCATTCCCTTGCCCTAAAGTCGTACTGGGCAAACGCACCGCCCATGTACATTACGTGGCGTCCTGGGTGGACAATGGCGGCGCCAGCCATGCCTGATTTTCTGCAATCGGCCCAGAACGGTTTCACGCCCGCAACAGTTACATCAAATTGAAACGATATCATATTGCTGGAAACCGCGAGGAGATGCAGTCGACCAAGCGCGCGCCGGCCACACTCGTTTACAAAGCCAAGAGCGAGAGGCCGCTTGTGACGCCGAAAGAGTCGTCGACGATGAATCGGTCCACAAGTGGCATCGCGGGAGTCCTCGATTCGTTGAAAGGCAAGATCGACATCCTCGACCACGAAATCAAAGCGGATCAAAAGGGCAAAAAGGACTACGAAGACGAACTGTTCAAGCTGAATACGCGCAAGCAAGATTTGACCGCACACTTGAACGAGTGCCAGCGATGGATTGATCTGTTTGCGTCCAAGATCCAGCCCCTCGAGAACAGCTACAAGGCAACGACCGTCGAAATGAGCGACGAGTACGACGAGGCCAAGGTCAAGCACGCGAAAGGGTTGCAAGTCCTCATTGACAACTTCAATTACCACCCTGTCTTCAAGCGGTATAACGACGACTTTACCGCCGTGCCATTTCGACCCAAGTGATAACAAAACTAGTGTTTGTGCCTTCTTCGCTCACCACCGCCGCGTTTGGTTCGAGAGTTTGGAGTCGGCCATCGCAGCGACCGCGATTCACGGCGGTGTGCACACACCTTATGCCACGTTGAAACAACAAATCACTTTCATGCACGATTGTCCTGAAAACATGGACTGGTGTTGAGAAGTAGACATTGTCCTGGCCGTCCGTTCACTTTTGCATTCCGTACGTCGATTCGAGGCATTCGTGGGGGAGTAGATTTATTCTAGTCCTTGAACGGCCTTCGTTTTCAAGACGGCTAACGAGGCAAATGGACGACGGCAGGCCGGGGCGGGTCCCAAGGTCATTGTGGAATACATCGGTCAATAGAAGGGTTAACCACAGTATGGACGAGTTCAGCCTTTATCGGCCCTCCTACCGTTTACTCATACTCGTGTTCCCGGGGCACTTTAATGTCCGAGTCACTCTTCGCCATTCGGGCTTCACAAACACCTTGAGACTGGCCACACACATGCTGCTCCACGCTTTCCAGTTCATTGAGTTTCTCGCCGGCATCGCCGTCATCGTCAGTAGTCTCAACGTCGTCGTCGTTGTCGTTGCCACCACTTTTTTCGATCTTTTCGTTAGGACTGTTGCCAGCGTCGCCTTCGACTTCCTCGTCGACAGATTCAATGGCCACCCTCTTGAGTGGAAGCGGCGAGTGAAATTGCATCGGAGCGGCGGAGTTTGGTCCAGGCACAGGGATGCTATTACGCTGACCCGCCTGGAGTTGCTGAAGCGCATACTCCACCAAATTCGGCGCGGACCGATTTCCCCGGTAGGAACGATACATTCGGCCTTTGGAAAACACAACTAAACTCGGGAACCCAAAGAGCCCGAACCGCTTGCTCCATGCACCAAGGATATCCGGCTTCAATTTGAACGACCCCACATGAAGTCTCCCGAGCAGGTCCACAGACACTTGGTCCCACTCGAGCAGGACTTCGCCGCATGGACCGCAGTTGGCCGTGTGAAAGAGAATAAACCAGTCGCCTCCTGTTTCGACCTGCGTCACGGCGTCAAATGTTTCAGGAACGAGCTCCACGACATGGCTTTGCGACGGATCGAATAATTTGACGGGGGGAGGGACGGCGCTGCCGTCGACGTCACTGGACAAGTACCCGCCTTGTGCAAACGCCATGAGATCTTGCACCGTGCGGCTTCCGCGAAATTTGTACATTTTTCCTTGGGCAAATACCATAACTGTTGGATACGTTTTGATGCGAAAGCGCGACCTGAGCGACACGTGCTCGTTTGCATCCACCATTCCAACATGAATCTTCTCGGCGTCGAGAAGCGGTGCGAGTTCTTCGAACATGGGTGTGAGCGTCTTGCAGTGCTTGCACCATGGAGCGTAAAAATCGACTAGCCAAACTCCTGCGTTGCTGCTCGTCGCTTCTGTGAGATCGTCAAATGTGTCGGTCGTGAGAGTGACGACCATGGCGTTCGAGTTGGACTTGTGGAATTCGCGAGAATCTCCGTCCAAGGCGCCTGTTGCTTTCTCAAAGGAGTCAGTGTTCAGCTCAATAACTTCCTGCGCAGCGGAGGTGGCACAGCCGAGGATGCTGATCATGACTGCCACTCGGACGAAAAGTCTCACGCATCGCTCCATCATTCGATGCGGCAGTCGACGGATGGATCACCACCGTGCAAAACGAAAAGTGTCATTCGCGCGCCAGAGAGCGAACGATTATACAATTGAAATTTCGTCTTTTATTTCTTTTCACCTGTTTAAACTTCTCTTTTGTAATGCTTTTTATTTTAAATCTCGACGTCCCATGACTATTCGGCCCCACTCTCCTGTGCGAATGGAACTCGGCGCACCTTTCCCCTTGCCATATTGGTTAACGAAAACAAGGTCGTGGCATTAACTGGGGCTTCATGCACACACAGCGAAACAACTCGAGTGGACAAAGCGGTAGCACATAGCCCATACTACGAGTCTGGTTACGAATGTCCTTCGATGCACCACTATCTTATCTCATTGTCTGGTTTACGTTGTTTGGGTGTCACCTCTACGTACAATACTTTCTTATCAATCAATTCAGTGTTCACGGAATTACTTTACAGTTAAGCAGTACAATACTCCGGAGTACTATTTTCCACACGCCAATCGCACTCTCTAGTTTCAACTCAAGCCAGGTCCATGACAGGACAGACATTGGATGGCGACAGCGTCGCGACAGTTCTGTGGGTCCTCCAAGTCTGTAAGTCGCTCCCAGGTCACGAAAGATTCTCACTACATTTGACTGTTAACCTTGCAGGCTTTCTCAGCGTCCTAACGGTGGCAGTCATTGTGTATACGTTCCACTACATCTTCGAAGTAAAACAGCGCGAGCTGTTCGGGCGAAAAGATCCGCCGCGAGATCACCGCGACTACATGGAAAGTCGATGCCTTACTAGCACGAGGCACTCGCATATATAGTCAGGTTACAATGCGCTTCGTGGTCCGAGAGGTCGCTGTTGAAAGTACAGTTCAATGGCGTCCACGAGAGAGTCGATTTCGTGTGTCGAGTTGAATGCGTGAATGATGATACGCAGTCGCTCTTCGTTCACTGGGACAGTCGGCGCTCGAATCGCGACAACATTGAATCCTGCGGCGGTCATAAACGCTGCGGCATAGAGGACAGCTTCATTTCCACTGACGACTATACCCTGGATGGCGGTGACACTGGGGAGAAGCGCCGTCTTGGGGATGTGCGTTGCGGCCTCGACTTGAGCTCGAAAATGAGCAATCAGTGATTGAAGGGTGGAACGGCTTCCGTCGGCAGCGGCGCAGACCTCATGTGCTCGCTGAATGAGTTTCATATCGTGCTGTGGCAGGGACGTGCTGTAAATGAACGGTCGGGCGTAGTTGACTAAGTATGCCTTCAAAACAATCGACCCGCACACAACGGCACCGTGGATACCCATGCCTTTGCCAAATGTGTACACGATGCAAAACACTCTGCGTTCGAGGCCCAAGGCCCGCACCAAGCCCGATCCTGCAGGGCCCATCACAGCAGTGCTATGGGCTTCGTCCACAACCAAAGATGCGCCGTAAGATTCGCATAGCTCAACCTACGCTCCGTACCGCTCAGCTGGGTGGTCATTGAATCACAGAATCGCCTCACCAGCTCCAGAATCGGTGCAACGTCGCCGTCCATCGAGTAAACGCTCTCGACCACCACCACTACTTGCCTGGACGGCGATGCATGGGACTTTAAAAGCGACATCAAGTGCATTATGTCGTTGTGTTGGAAGGAATGTGTTGTTGCGCGACTCAGCCGCAGTCCCTCTCGGCACGAATTGTGGACGAATTGATCGAAAAACACGATGTCGCCTTCTTGAGGCACACATGACATCACGCTCAGGTTGGCCAGGTACCCCGAGTTAAAGACGAGCGCCGATTCTGCGCCGTAGAATGATGCCAGGTCGTCTTCGACCTCGACATGGACGCGAGACGTGCCTGTGACTAAACGAGACCCAGTGGAGCCGTGCGCGAGTGTTTCTTCCTGCGATAAGGCAAGGGCGGGATCGCGACTGAGACCAAGGTAGTCATTTGAGCAAAAGTCAACATTTGATGGAGGCAAGACTTGCAGTGACCGGGCAGTGCCATCTCGTTGTCGCCTCGCCACCGCGACTGCAAGCTTCTTCTCCAGCGACATATTGCACTTCTTCGGTGGTGGCAAGCATGAGTGACCAATCACAAGTTGTCATTCGAAATGCTGTCCAATCAGCGGGATCAAAATCTATTTTGTCCAATCCCAATTGAGATTCTTCAGCCAGTCAAATCGTATCTCTCGTTACTACCATGTCGAGGTGTACCAACTGCATGAAGTGTGCCTTAAACTTATTGCTGCCTATTGTCGAGACTGCGCGCATATACCGCAGGCAAAGCGAAAGCCGGAATTCAGTTGAGGAATCCATTTTGATTGCGACGAGAAGATAACATACCCTGGCGAGGATCCAGGTGCAGACATAATTCAGCGCTCCAATCACGAATCCATATTAACACGTGCGACCGAGACTCCGGATTGAAAAATGTTCAACCAATCAGAAGGCGTAATCCTATAATGAAAATAGTTTTAGCCAATCATGCCTTCCAACACCTGGAATCGTGTTTCTCGAGGTTTATTAATTTCGAGAGGAAATGCCGCCGTTGGAACGACATTTTCCCATGCTCCGCCTTGTTCCGCCTGATGCATGGACGGCGGCGACAACGTTTGCCTCCTTCTTATTTCACATGATGCTGCCGATTGTAGCAAGCGCAGAAAACTCTACGTGGACATGTGCGCCCTGTTGTGAAAACAATCCACTTTCGCCCGCGTTGGCATGCTGCAGCCAACCGAGTGACAACAGTGTCTCGTACGGCGGATGCATCGGCCTTCCATGCTGTACCCCAGGTACACTCGATCGTCGAATGTGCTCTGTAGAACTCCAACGACTTGCCATCGTAGGACGGCTGGACTCGGACAAGTTCATGTCATTGTACCTTTGGAAGCCTTGCCTCCCATACGTGGGGTGCCAGGGAAAGGACCTGTGCAGCGAAAACCAGAGCATCGCAATGACCGTGCAGCGCCTAGACACACGGTCGTCATGGACTTGTACAGAGGCATGTTGTAGTACCGTGACGAGGCACAACACGTGGCGAAGGACCGCCCCCTCTGGATCGACAGCTCCTGCGTACCTTCCAAACCAGATCAACTCGCATGTTGCCATTACATTCGACATGCAAGAAATCAAGCGGGTCTTGTTTGTCAACGACGAGCCGATCACGACGTCTGTCCAGCAGGTGCTTGTTCCGCTGCCGACGGACTGGTTGTGGAACGGCAAGTACTCGTCGTGCGGCGTTTCTTCCTATGCAGTCTCAGAGACCGCCGTCAACATGGACCTTAGTCGCATGTCTCCAACGCGATGCAACGCTACGGTCATGTCCAACGAGCTGTACCTTCTCGTCGACGCCAACACGCCGTCGGCCCTGAACACGTCGCACTTTTCGATCCACCTGGTGAACCTCACGAGTCCGCGCGGCGTGCTCTCTCCACTCGCGCCGCCCAAGCCTTTGCACTTTATCACAAAGCTACCAAACTTCGAGTTTCGCGTATTCTCGACGGTGCTCCTGGTCGAGGCGTCCCAGACTGGCATTCTCTCCCAAGGTGTGTTTGCCCCCCAGAACGTCCTGTCTCAAGCGGTCGACAACGCAACCCTTCGCTTCACGACGTCGGTGCCATTGGCCGCAGGCACGTTCTTGCGCGTCAATTTTAGCCTGAGCGGGTTCAACTTTATCGATTCCCAGTGGTTCCTCCTCAACGGCACGACGACCGTCTCCATCCCTACCGTCTCGTATGACGACAAGGGCAAGGTGTGGGTCCTCACCTTGCCCAATGCCATCACGGCGTTGTCGGCCGTCGAACTCAAAGTTACCCGCGCACGCAATCCTGAGGCCGCGTTCAAGGACACGTTTGCTGCGATCAACGTGGACGCGTTCGTCTTGCCGAGCGACCAGCCGCCGACTTCGGTCCTGGTGGTTGCCCAAGGCGCGGTGACGGCGACGCTCGTCCGAGATTTCACCGTATCGCCGCCATCGAGTCCGTACAACTGGATCTCGCTCGTCCTGCTCCTGCTTAGCCTCCTCTTTTGCCTCCTCATGTTGTACAAGCATGGGCTGTTTCTGCATCCGTCGCACCCGATCGCGCTCTTCAGCGACCTCACCGCGATCGCGTCCGTGCTCGGGCTCTTCCTCGGCGTCGTCAACAACGCGCTGTGGATCGCTGGCGTAAACGTGTTTGTGTTTTTTTACATCAAGTGCGGCGTGTCGAGCGTGGCGTTCACGATGCTCCTGTCCGTATGCGCACACTGGGGCGCCGTACTCAGTCGGCGCATTCGGAAGCTCCCGATTTTCGTCATCGTGTCGGCGTTTGTGGCGCTGAATGCGCTCTTTTACACGTTTCAACTCGTCGTCGGGGCCCTCCACCACGACGTCGTGAAACTAGTGTACACTGCCGAGCAATCCGTCAACATGCTCGACCCAATCTACCCCTGCAAGAACGGCCCGACCTTCCAGTTTGTCTTTTCCGACATTCAACCTTTCTACACCAAGTGCTACATCGCGCACCTTGACCTGTCGGATGTCCACTTCTTCACGTGGTTCTCCAACACAACGTACTCGATCTTTGCCTTGCTCACATGTGCCATACTGGCCCTCGGGTACATGGTCATGCGTCGTGGCTCCAAGATCCTGCACCTCATTTCGTACTCGCCGCAGCAGATTTACCTCATGAAAGCGCTGCGCCTGTACACGGCTCTCATTGCGCTCGTCACGTTGACGTATCTCGTCGCGTTCTCGATGCAGTTTGTCCAAGTCGAATTGCCGTACTATTGGTGGTACCTCACAACGGTGTGGCTCCCCCAGTGTATTCCGCCCTGCTCGTTCATCTTTTTGCAGTGGAACTCGGCGACCAAGTCGCTGAGAAAGGAAACGTCGTCACAAAATAACTCCAGTGGTGAAATCACCGCCAAGAAGACGTCGATTTCGACGCCCCGGATCACGACGATGGACCCGAATTTCGTTCAAACAAAGGCATCAGGCAATCCGCAGCATCTGCCGTCGACAGAATCGTCTCGACCAGGCGCGCCCACCTACGATGGTGTTGCCCGCATGTCGATTGCAGAGCAGCAGCCTGCCGTTTCTCGAATTGGGCTCAGCCTTCGTCTGACCATACCGGAAGCAATCCCCCATGGCTGCTACGTCGCCATGGAGCTCCAGTGCCCAGACCATTCCAAGTGGACTCGCGTTGGCACCACTGACACTGCCGACACCGTGCCATCCTCCGACGCGACTTCGTACGTCGTGCCGTTTCTCGCTGTCTTGTCTGTGTCCATGGCGTCTCCCGCCACCAGTTCAGTTCGATTTTTGGTGTTTGCAGCACCCGGTGCATTGTCATCGCGATCGAGTGATTCGAAAGCACCATCTTCCAACGATGGCTCCATGCTCAATGATCAGAACGGGATCGTGGATGGCCTGGAATACCTGGACGGAGACTGTAGCGACTCGGACTGCGACGCAGACGGCGATGACGATCCATTGATGCAACTTCTGCTACCCACAGATCGATGCGTCGCTTCATTTCACGCCCCCGACTTTTTCGACTCGGCCATGGACGTGGACGCGATGGTGCTGGCTGCAGATCATTCGCGCTTCCAACTCAACGGGCTGTGTCGGCTCGAGGTGAAGTTTGTTCATGACATCGGACGTCGTAGCCTCTGTCCAATTCCAAGTGACGCTGTCGTGACATCGCAGTATCATTTGCACGACCAGCAAGTTCTCGTGGTGGAGGAGCTGTCGGAGAGCCCGTATGCCAACTCCATCCCTGGCCAGTACTTGGACATTATCATTGCCCGACGGACGAAAGCATACTACCAAGCGGAGTACGAACTGGACCAGTTTCTCGCGATGGAACACGCTCGCATGCACCAAGATGCCGCCGGCATGGGCACGCTGTACGAGAACCTGCTCGAACAGATCCAAGGCGAGGCCGATCGCCGGCAATGCCGCGAATGGTGCGTCCTTCCCGCCGCCAATTGCAAATAGTTCTCATCTTCGCGTAGGCTACAAGCACGTGTCGATGAGCGCAAAGCGTATTTGTGCCACCTGCGCCAGTGCCGCATGGCCACGTGGGCGCGAGAACGGACTACTTTGTCCGGTCCCTGTCGATTCAAGCCGAGCACGGCGAAAAGAGTGGCCGACCTCGCGTGCATCCCTGTGAATCTACATCTCCACGAAATGCACGTCGTCAGGACGACATCGACGTCCTCAACGCGTCCCCGTTCTTCATCTGCCGACGGGACGACCACGTACAGCACGACCACCGTCGGAGCGTTTGCAGCGCACTTGTATGAGTTCAAACAAGGCGGAGTGTTTTCGCTGAGCCAGGAAGCAAACAAGTGCACGGCCCTTCCCGACGCTGACGCCGAAACGTCGTTGTTTCCGACGACATGGCAGTACCTATCTCAAGTCGAGCGTCGCCGGTGCGACCTTGAATGGACCATCCACACTCGCCTCGACGTGTGTGTGCCGCAAGCGTTGGCTACTCTCGCAACGTCCTTCACTGCCACGATCCAACGCCTTGTCGACCACCCGCTCGAGTTTGAAAGGCTCCTCACGGTCGGGTTTATCTTCCACGTCGAATCGCTTCTCAGCACGTACGGCGCCGAGCTCGGGATGCTGGAAGACATGATGGAAGCGATGCAAACGCTTGGACGATGCCGCATCCTCCTCGTGCCAGACTCAGCAGTCGCAGCTGTCGGTAGGCCAAGTTGTAGTAGCAGCACCAACCGCAGTCGCGACGGCGACCTCGACAAGCGCGTTGTGACGAGTGTCGACTTGTACACGAATGTGGACGATGCTATTGTCGGCATGCGGACGCATGACCACGCCAAGTCGGACGAGGAGGTACGTACTGCCTGCAGCTCCAATGGATGGCCACGATGGAAAGATGGAATGCAGTGGATTCCCACGCTTGACAAATCAAATAGGACTTTATCCTTCGGGTGGTTGTGCGCAGCCGTGGCAAGGTGCTCTTCCCGAAACGGTGCTTGGTTCCAATCCATCCCCTGCTTTTCAACATCGGGATCGATGAAAAACAGTCTCTCGCCAACATGTCCCTGGCTGTGTACCCGAAGAAGCTCCAGGACCACATCAACGACACGGCCCTCCAGCGGCTCAAATCGATCGTAGCGACGTACTGCGAGCTCGTCCCGCACGACGCCGTCGTCCCCCGGTTGCTGCAAAATCTCGTGGACGCCGTGCATGCGAGCACTGCCGGGAGAAAGAAGCACCCGGCCGTGCTCCAGCTGAGCTCTCGACTCGTACGGCACTTGGACGGGGGCCGAGTCACTGTGTGCAAGAGCGGAAAAGATCGCACAGCCATGTCGGCTACGTTGGAGCAAGGTCCGAGGGATCAACTGAATTGCCACTGTCAAAACGGAAGGGTCGTAACTGTGAATGCATAGGGATGACGCTCAGTTTGCACCACGACTTGCCGCTGGACAAGGTGCCAGACGTGGTCGCGATCATGCGCACGCGCGGCGTCCGACTTGAAAACTGCCACAAGAACACTGGGCGGCGCAAGTTTGCCTTTAGTGCGCTGCAGTGCACGATGCTGCCAGAGCAGTATCGGTGCCCCCCCGAGACGGGCGGACGCCATTTGTCGTAAGGGATGCCGCCCGATCGATGGAATCATGTTGTGAGAAAGCGAGGTTGATCATGGGAAGGCTGCCAGGTCGCGCACTGCATGGGCTGTGATGCTCCATATTTAACGTTCAAGTATATTTATTCCAACGTCTCCGAGTCGTTCAGAGGATGGCGTCGTCGTCGTTGGAGAAGCAGTTCAGTTGATGGGGGTCGCAGACGCCGACGTTTCCAGCGCCTAGGGGAGAGCCCGTGGTGAGGACGGACTAGCCAGGCAGGCTGTGCTCCAGATAGGTTTCGTACATGTTTAATGGGCAGGAGCCAAGTCCAGTCGGCGCTCGTCGTGGGCAAGAGACCCATGGTCCCGCACTTGTACAATGCAACAGCGATCGCGACCAAATTGGCCACGACAAATGTGATCTTGGCCTGAACCAAGTTCAGCTTGCCGTCCTCGAGGGATGCAAACGCTACGAAATCGATGTGCATGACGACTTTCGAGGGCAGGACGGACGGAATGGCGAAGCGACACACCTCCGTTCACATTGAAGAGCGCCTTGAGCGGGTTGAAGATCGCCATGGCCGTAATCATGATGCTGAATATGTTGATAGAGGACCCACTCATGTACATCATGAGCCCGGTCTGGAACAGCCCCTTGAACGGCGCTTGGGCGATTTCCGTCGCGCGCTACGTGATCGCACACACGTCAGCACATGGCTTCGTGGGGAATGCCACGGTGCGTCACCTTTTGTTTCAAGTCGAGGGTGTCGTTCGCAGACGTGGTCGTGACCGCGTTGTGATCCTACGACACACGAGTGAAATCTCGCCATTGGACACGCCCTCTCGACGACATACCAGCGCGACGTGCTTGTTGTACCCGAGCGGGTCAGCTGCCGACGTGTTGACGTTCAAATCATATGCCCATTTGCGAACCATGGCAGGCGGCGGCGGAACTGTGTGGCAGTCGGTGGACGATGTCAGGTCCTCTTGTGCATATTTTGATCATTATCCGGAGACAGGATGTCATATCCGAATGCCCAACTCAGCCCCGAAACCCCGTCCATCCTCAGCTTGGCATCCCGCGCGAGGCGGCGGAACGAAATGGACCAGGAAGGCTTTCGCATCATTCATCCTTTTGGGGGTTGAGACTGTTTAATAAAGACACATGACTGTGCTAAATCGTAAGATGATATATGGGGTCGGGTGCTGGAAGATTCAAAGGAGAGGTTTGCGCGTTGAATGCAAGTCCCAGTAAACGGCGACCGCATCTCTGACGGTCCTAAGGAACCGATATTCCTTGTCGGGCTTACAGGT